GAGGAGGGCAACGAAGTTGGTGAAGGGTTTGGAGCACAAGTCTTATGAGGAGCGGCTGAGGGAACTGGGGTTGTTTAGCCTGGAGAAGAGGAGGCTGAGGGGAGACCTTATTGCTCTCTACAGCTACCTGAAAGGAGGCTGTAGTGAGGTGGGGGTCGGTCTCTTCTCCCTAGTAACAAGTGATAGGACGAGAGGAAACAGCCTCAAGCTGCACCAGGGGAAGTTTAGGTTGGATATTAGGAAAAACTTCTTCACTGAAAGGGTAGTCAGGCACTGGAACAGGCTGCCCAGGGAAGTGGTTGAGTCCCCATCCCTGGAGGTATTTAAAAGAAGTGTAGACGTGGTGCTTAGGAACGTGGTCTAGTGGTGGAGTTGGCAGTGCTAGGTTAATGGTTGGACTCGATGATCTTAAAGGTCTTTTCCAACCTAAATGACTCTATGATTCTATGATAATTATGACCTGAAAAACATGGAGTGGTTAGCTGAGATGAAGCACAAGAAAAATTGTAACATGCCATAAAAATATTATCTTTTCTGAGATAGAGGTGTTCAGTAGCTACCAGAGGTAAGAATTTTCATTCCCCAGCTCATCGCCTCAGTGTCTTTACTGTACTTCTTTGAGGATGAGATCAGAAACCATGTGGGGAAGGGGCTGAAAAGTATTCTCTCACTGACTGCAGGTTGGCTGTGAGTTTGTTCTGGCACGTAACGGCTGTGCGTAGTTTCATTCGCATGATTTCCATGAGGATGGATGGTGATTGCATTCAGTGACACATACATGTACAATCCTTGGATTTTGACGGCTATGGAGAAGCAAAGTTTTGGGCTTTAAAGGAGGATTTGTGTGCCTGAAAAGCTCGTCTCTATCAGTTAGTCTAACCAAAACAAACATACGTAGTATTTTACTTGAACAACCTTAAATCATTGCAGTTATAGTATCCCTATTATAACTAGGTATCTCTAAACTATTTTCGTAAGGAGCTTAGCAAGAAATAGAGCCTCTGATGATATGAACACTGATTAAGGCACATGTATGTTTCAGCGCTATAGCAGCATTCATTTTAAGTGAGGCCTAAAAATATTTTTCCAAGGAGAAACTAGAGGACGTGAACTCGATGGAGTAGACATCCGAGAGTTAACAGCAAGAAACACTACTGGGAGGTGCAAATTCAGACTATAACCCAGCAGCGGGACTTTAGGCTTTAACACGAGTAACTGCTTTGGGGCGACTCGCACTAAAAATGACGGTAGGACTGCGAAGACCTTGGGCCAGCCGGCAAGCTGCTGCGGGTCTGAGGCCAAGGGATGGATCTCGCCTCCCGTCCCTGCCTCTCTGGGACACAGGCAGCACCAGCTGACAGCAGAGGAGAAAGCTGCCGTCGAGGTGAAGCTGTCCCATTTGCACGTCTAACCTCCCCATACAGTTCAGAGCTCGCACAGTCCATGTCAGCTGTTAGCTAGCAAACATGCAGTAGGAAAAGAAAAATTATTTCAGCCTGGGAAGTACTACACCTCCTAAGGAATTTACTGAACGTGAGCAGAATCCCGGGAACATCAGCTAAAGCTTAAATGCTAGCTGGGTAGCTGTGGCTGTTAGCACGGCAAACGGATCTACCGCCCGCGTCCCTCAGCACGCACGCGAACGGTACCTTCTCAGAGTGTTCAAACTGCCTCCAGAAGCTATCATACATTCTTTTTGTGGTCTTTTCAGGAGTGCAAACCACAGTCTTGATATAAACTTTAAAGCTGCGGTCCAACAACTGATTAATTTCACCATAGTCATAATCATCGTATCTGTTCGGAATTGAAAGAAAAACACTTTCATTTTCAAGAAGTTATTTTACTGGCATTGTTTCTAAGTTCCTACGGCAAAATAAATTATTGTGTAACTTGTACCACTACTGGCCCTTCCCCATAAATAAAAATATGTTTAAAAATACATACATGTTTGCTTAATAAATAGCTTTGCTTCAGTCTGAGAAAGAAAGAAAAAAAAAAAAAGCCAATGCTAACAAGTCTGATGTATATAGAACAAAAGTAGTAAAACTGACCTTATTCCAAACATACAATGAATATAGTTCCAAATAGCTCGTCTTAGCATTGAGGTATCCACATCTTTGTGCATGGCCATTGTGTTGTAAGTCAGATTATAAGCAATATGAAACTTCTCATCAAGCAGTTGTCCCACATCTGGGTAAAGACGATTAACCAAGGAATAGCCATGGTCTTCCCAGGAATAATCCTTAGAGTAAGTAAAAATGCAGAATGGAGCATTTCAGAAAGGAACTTGTGAAGACCTAGTGCTTTAACGTAATTTATTTCAGGGCAGATAATCCGGGGGGGCGGGGCTGGTGGTGGTGGTGTTCACTTGCTTGCTTTAAGCCTGCTCATCCGTGGGGCAGTAAGTTACAGCACAGCCATTTCCAGGTTTGGTATTTGGCACAACAAACAGATCGCGCACTAAGCCTCCTTATAGCAGCCCCCATCCTTGTTACCTGAACACGAAAGGTGGGCACGTGCATTCCGTGTCTGGAGAAGTCTTTGTAACCATAGCTGGTATCCTCAAAGTGACGAGACACATCTCTGGCTGGTGCCGATTCTTCATCTTCTGTTAATTTCAAACAGAATTTCACACAATTTCAGTAAGAACAAACGGGAAGCGTGCTAGTGGAACTCTTACAGAAGAATGGCGAGTCTCTGTGCTTTTTAAATAAACACACAGTTTCACTGGATTACCCGTATTAAAATTCCCTGGTACAGCTCAGCGTGACCGCAACTATGGTTTTGAGAGGCAACTCCATGAAAAACACTCACATTCTTTCTTACAGACAAACATCTTTTTCTCCCTCCTTTTATGTACCAGCCTTCATTCTGTCTCCCAAGTCTAGGGGACACTTTGCTCCTAACTCAAGGGGTCTGTAAAAACGTCAAGGGAAAATCTGCTTTGGAACAGAGAGCTTATTAAAAAAAGAGACCCCTAAGGCTTCCATGCCAAGTTTATTTTAGAGGAAACTCTGTTGAAGAGCCCACAACAACCCTAAGCTTGTAACAGATGAAGTATTATCTCACAGTCATCTGAAAAGTCATGTTTCATCCACTTAAATAGCTAAGTGTGTTAAGGACTTCTTTTTACCATGTCTTGTGAGATGCTTAAATCTCTCGTGAAGCTTTTAAATCTCTCAAGAGAGAGATTCCATTTCTGTTGGAAAGTTCTATTAAACATAATATTGGTCAGTGAGCGTTACGGTGTGTTTGAGAAAAGCCACAAATCTTGGCACTACTTTGCTTTTAAGTGTTTCTGGAAGAAAACGAGGCACCCTTAATCTTGATCCCTTCAAAGAAATGGTAACGTTTTTGAGACAGCTAATAACACCTTTTTTTCCTTTTGCGGCAGTAAGTATTTCTTCAAGTGATTTGGAAAAGTCTAAATAAATAAATATACACACACTACATCTGTTCTACCTGAAGAACACACGAACATGCTTTCTCTCTTCTCTCTTTCAAAACGTGTAGCCATCTCTTCTTGGCTGGCTTCCTCTTCATCTCTACACTCCTGTAGCTGCTTCATTTTCTCCATAAGAGCTTCAACTTCACAGACAGACTCTGTAGACTTGAAAAGGAGAGAAAAACGTTTCGTTTCCATGTAACAAGAACTGACAATGACGGCAGAAATCATCAAGCCAGAAAATTTAAACGCAAGCTATGTCCTTCATTTACATCTTTAAATACTGACTTTTCAAGGAAAACAGTTCTGGAAAGAAATCTGTACTGACCCAACAGTTCACATTTAGTCATCACCTTTTCTCAATTAGATCCCTCATATTTTTAGCATATATTAAGAATCACGACTTTTTGGAACAAGTGGTTCTCACGCTGAAATTAATTTCTCTTACTTAATCTAAATGTTCAACAACTGAAAAACAAGGAGCTGTAACAGAAATTCTGATAGAGGAAGTAACCACAATTTACTACCTAACTGTATTTTTCTCCTTCTCTGCTCACAGAGAAGAAACATATTGAAGGAAAAAGGAACAGGGAGTGTAAATGCAGATTTAATGAAGCCTCAAAGGAAAGCTAGTGCAAGATAATCTTATTTCACAGGAGCCGTTTTAACACCACAACACACTATTAATTCTGTATCTGGTCTTGTAAAAATCCATCAGTGCAAAGCAAAATAGAGTTATCTTTAATTTATACAGTTCTGCCCCTTTCTTCTCTGCCTTTTGCAGTTTGCTCCTTCAGAGAACCAGCAAGCTCCATCAGACAAAATTTAAATGCCACCCACACCATTGCAGTAAAGTCTCACAGGCAAGGAACCTGCGCTGAAAATACCCTGTTATCGCTATTCTTAAACCAACGCATAGTTCACATCATGCTTTTCACTAACTAGAAGCAAGTACAGATCAGTGCGCGTAACTGCTGCAGGCAGGAAATACTCCTTTAGAGACGGAGTCATAAAATTGTGAATGATCTGTTGTGTGGTGTATCACAAACACGTCAAGGCAACAAAGTCAAAGACCGGAATCAAAGGAAGAGCCAACTTTCCACCGCACCCATGGAAAAAAGCACTCCTGGCCACTGCTGCCCAGGACGCGTATCATGAACTAGCTGAGGCCAGGAGTCATCTCAGTTTGCCTATATGAATGACAAGAGACCAAAAAAATAAGACAACTGAGAGCCTGTATCTTTGCCTCTCCCTTCAGTAACCTCCCCCAGCTTAGCAGTGTCATTTCAGCTTCTCCTAAACGTATCTTTTCAACTGGTTAGCCCTCACCTGGATTAGGCTAATCAATCCCACTCTCACTGAACGAAAAGAGACGGGCATCCTCCGTGTATGAAGTTTACAAAGAAACTACTACTATTGAAAGAGATTGTTCAGACAGCTACTTACTGGAATACTTCCAGTTGGGCTGGCGTGAATTTCATCCGCCCCGTGGTAACCATTTGTAATATCGCATATGCAATAGTTACCGACAGAAGGGGGCCTGAAGGTGTGACCACCTTCGCAGTCGATCTCCGGGCTGATTCCACAACCGAACGTGAAGGAAGCAAGGGAGTGGTACTGTGTAAGGAGGACGACCGCGTGGATCAGCTCTGCCAGGGACCAGCTGTTCTCTTCAGTCTTCAAAAGTTGCTTTAAAAATAATGCAAGACGAAAATATTAATTTTGAACTCATTCAAATGATCCCACCTTAATGCAGTTTATCAACACCTTTCTTTACCAGATAAAATTATTTTTCCAAAGTCCGTAATTGCTTCCTAGCTCTCTGCTGCCATTAGTGCGCTCAGTGTCCCGTTACCAGGTTACCTGCCAGCCACGGACTCGTGTGGTTAAGCCACACAGGAGACGCCTTCCCTCCCCTCTCTGGCCCTCAGCTACTGAATCAGTTGGGGTTTCTATTTTGCACCATATGGTTTGTACTGAGGCCAGGCCGACCTGCATTGCAATTTCACACCTCTGATGAAGATGCAACCGCAACAGTCACATGCTGCTTCAACTGGTCTTTACAGTCTCAGAAAACCCTGGCAACTCCTCGCGGATCAGCTGTGTAAAAACCTGGCATCAGGGCCGGGCTCCCTCCATCTTGTCCCTGTGGGTGGAATGCTCCACATTTGACAAGAAGCTTCAAACCCCAAACTTCCCCTTCAGGCAGGAAAGTGTGGGAGGTTTGGGGCCTTCTGGCAGAGCGCGCGCCCTCCCCCCCAGCCCAGCGTCCTGCCTCCCAGCAGGACCTGCCACCGCCTCCCAGCAGGACCTGCCACCGCCTCCCAGCAGGACCTGCTCCACCTGGCAGACAGTGCCAAGAAAGCCCCAGCGCCCGCTTCCTCCTTGCTACGGGTAAAGAGAAGAGCAGAGGAGGACGAGTTGCTCCAGTAACCACGGCCAGGCCCGGGGCAGGCATGCCCCTGTCTCGAGAGCTGCCGTCGCTGCACACATGCTGCACGCACCCTCGAAGCCGGCTGATGCGGGCAGCCCTCAGTGGAGGGGGCAGCAGAAGCAGCCGCTTGGTGGCTTGCTGGGGCTGTGGTCCTGGCTGGCTTGTCCCACCACCGCTCCCCTGGGCTGCTCTGCCAGCCTGCTCCCTCCAACCCAGCCCGAAAACCAAGCATTTGAACCAGCAGCAACTGAGACAAAGATGCAGTGATTGATGTTCTGCCTAACCTCCGGCAGCATCTCGGAAATGCTCAGGGGGTTCTGGCTACTGAAAGCACCCGACTTAAGGAAGTGCACATCTGAGCACATCGTCATCGCACCAACAGAATTCCGACATGACAACTCTGAAATGGCACTGTGTTGTACATTCAATTTGTTACTCACTTAAGACCAGTTATGATCATGTTAGTTTTACAAGGGCAGAAGTGATATGATATCATCCAGTAGCACAGTGATATAACGCTGAAATGAAAGTCAGTAACACAGAACATCTTTCATCCTTTCTGGCTCTTAACCCTAAGAATCTGTGACTGCATTACTGAAGAAAAAAAAATAAAAGGCTACATTCACATTACTCCATGAAAGACTTACCTCGATATGTTCCTTGGTGATAAGCCAGGGTCGGTGAGCCAACATTTTGTTCAGTTCTCCTAAATTTTGCAGTTTTTGAGGTGCATTTTCCAGACCATTCAACCATTTAGGGTCTCCACCGACATGAAGGAAGTCATTCACATGGAGGTTAACAAGGTAAGAGCACTGATGTCGTGCCGCAGCCTAGAAAGGAAAACACAGTTGTGATACACAAAACAATGACAGTAAGTTAGTGCTTTATGACAAATACCATAACTCATCATTTCTTCAAAATATTCAAGAATCAGACTTGCAGTGATCAAAGGCTGAAGTAAAAAAAAAATTAACACATCAGCCTGTGTTTTGAAAAACCAGTTTTGATTATTGTTCTCACAACATAAATATTCCTCATTCATATACATTATAACTATGCTGGCTACAGGTGCAACATGCCTATATCCAGGGAGACGTGCAGGCATAGATTTATTGTATGTCCTGAAGCAAGTAATCCATACTGCATAGTACTCTCCAGTGGGGAAGAAGCAAGGCTGCCTCTAGGTGAATCTTTACCAGCAAAAGCAGGTTTTAGAACGCATACAGCAAGAGAGACTAAGGGCAGCTTTTCAGCAAAGAACAGACCCAGTATCGTTTATTCAAACAGTAATACTTTCCCCATCAAATTAAGACACAGCCCAAGACTTTAATTCAGCTTCAGCAAGCAAAGATCATTGAACTGGCAGACTGGAAATTATGAAATCAACCACTTCTGGCAGGAAACTTGCTTAGAATTTAGAGATTCAGCAACGGATAATGGGACAGGCTACTGAGTTAGTGGGAGGTGTACTCGACAGGACACACGCACAAACAAGCTCTTCTGAAAAGCAGTTTCTGAGATACTAAGGAAACCAAAAATAAACAATTGTCTTATTTTTATAACAGATTTTTTCCCCCCTCTTTCTCACAATCCTACCAAAACTATGAACAGAAAAGTACTGGTCTTATGAAACAATTTGTAAACCAGACACAAACAAACCTACTCTGCTTTTCCCCTTCGCTCCTGATGAAATGCCTTTCCAACTAGAAACTGCAAAACACGGTAATAACTGCTATTCAACAAGACCAGAGATTGTTGCCAAAGCGGCTGTTTCTGCTTGCTGCTTTATGTTCCAGCATACCATTATCCCGATGTAGTGTCGGTAATGAAGCGGGAGAGGACCATCCATTTGCAGTAGATAGTGCTGAGTTTTTAGAAAGCTTTCAAGATACTGTGGGTGGAAAACCATCACCAAGGTAACATTGTCCAATCGGCCCAGCGTAGCAAAAGAATCTGCAAACAGCGCGTGCATCATGGCGTCTTCGTTTCCCACTTGAATCGTCTGATTGAACAGAAAGAGCAATTACCAATATTGTCTAAGAAGTACCACTAAAATAGTAAATAAATATACTACCACAGCACGCAGAGGCCCCAGTGAAAGGAATTATATTATAAATCTGTTAATGGCATTAAATCAGTGCACATACGGCAAGGCACATAAAATCCCTTTAATACCTCTCATTTAGGAGATCACAAGTGGGTATATCAGCAAAAGGAGATTTTGGGCTTTACACTTTCTCCTGTACAACACTGACTTCTCATTTTTAACTGTCTCACCTTCACTTTCTTGAATGCCCCAAATTGATCTAACTTAGCTTATTATAACAAAAAAAAGCTAATTGAATAATCGTTTTTACTAAGGGAAAAAGAAGGAAAGAAGTAAAAAGCCAGCTAAGATGACAAGAGAGAGAAATAAAAGGAAATTGAAACTTAAGGCTCTAAAATTCCTAGAAGATCACAGGCGTATTACTAACTCTTCCTCTGCTCCAAATTCTCTTACCAGACGATGAGGAGAGAGGCACCATAAATGCTCAGCCACAGTACTCTGAAGCTTCTCAGGTTATACAGAATGGTAGAGGTAGCTCAAGAAAAAGCAACCCCAGAGCAGGGGGGCAGGTGCCTTGTGGACCAGTAGGAAATTACATCCGGACGTTCACAAGGAAACAGACACACTTAAAGAAAACAGTATTGGGTTTCTCCTAGGCTAGATAGCAGTACGGGAGGGGTCATAACTATTCCAAAGCTCCCCAGGGCTCTCACTGCTTCTGTACACTAGAACTGTGGCCAAAGTCTCACCAGGACTGAATGTGATCACAACTGAAAATGTTTTGCAGCTCAGCAGCTGTCCTGAAACCAAATGTGGGTTACTACTAAAAGCGTGTTCCTTAAAAGCATAAAGTTCACTGTGTACTTGAAAACACTACCACACCTCCTTCTCGGGGATGAATCTGCTTGGTCCGTGTCCCAGTGGTCTAGGAATTCTTATTCCAAGTTCCTAGAAAAGAAAATTACACCATCTCAGCATTTAGTTATAAACAGCTTTTTAGCTGTGGTTGCAGGAAAGAAGACTTCTCCATTCAGAGCTGGGCTTATTTGGGTACTCGTGGTACTCTTACATGGGCACTTTTATTAGTACCATTTGTACAAATGCAAATCATTTTTTCTACAAGTGCTTTATAATTAGCCACACTTGTTTACAGTGTACTGCCCCACTCCAGCAACAAAAAATTCAACAACAAAGGCTCTGCCAACCGAAGAAAACACACACAAATTTATATGCACACACACACGACAACCTGGTTCACAGAAAATTCTGCATAAAGCATATTTTGGCAGGGTGTCCAGGACAAGGAGTTCAGTACATAGCTGGCTGCTGTGTGGTTATGCCACTGATACAAAATGAGACTGATGTGTGTGTGTACATCCGCAGTATGCCAGCACATAACACTCTGTGCATCTGTCAGGAAATGAAACAGCTGTAAGCCTAATCAGATTTCTTTTTCCAAACCTCAAAGAGCTCTTAAACTGCTCAAAGTACCTGATCTACATTTGCATCTGCTTTCTTTTCAAGATAGGATAAAAAACTATTCACGTTGGGAGGGAGGGAGGGGATTTTGCTCAATCAGAACAGCAGCAGCCACATCCTTGCACACACTTCTGCGGACATACTGCCTTGCAGGTAGGAGGGAGGCTGGATACCCCTCCAGCAGTTCGCTACTTGCCCTCTCCCTCAGCTAGACAAAGCTTTCTGCCAGGCCTACGGCACCCTGGGCCCTTCGTGCAGCCCAGGAGCAAACTGCATAAAAGACGTGGGTGCGTTTGTGTCCTGCCTGTTAAACCGTTCCCTTTGGACGGGTGGGAGCCATGGGTTCAAGGGCAGCTTCTGTGTTTGGCACGGAGCAGCCCTCAGAGAAGGCACAGCAGGGTCCATGGAGCATGGACCAAAGCAGGACACGGACTCACCTCACACATCCACACGTGTGTGATGCCCACCTCCCCATTGCTACCGAGGCTCACTCCTTCACGTGCGCAGGACTCACTCCCAACAAGCTCTCCTGAGGGGATTTCGCCTCAGCCAGCAGCATGGCTTCCCCAGGAAAAATTGGAGCCTTGCCACCCGAAGCAGCTCCCAACAGGGCAGCTGATGGCGCGGTGCTCTGCCAGATGGAGGGAGACCTGGGATTAAAGCTGGTGATGGAGCTGAGTGCTAAACACTAGGCTATATATAAACTAATGGTTTGGGCTCCTTACCTGTTCACTCTCCCCCCAGTCATCTTTTAAAACATATCCACTGCCTCCGTTCCACAGCCCAAACCACTCATTTTCTAATGATACCAACCCCATCCAGGTTCTCAGCTGGCTTTAGATGAATAAATACCATGTATTGAGCCAGTTCAGGCCACACAGAGCAGAGGGGCATCTTCAGCTGTTTTAGGCTGCAAGAGCAAATGAAGCCCCTAAAAGCCGCCTGCCAAATGCGGTTTTTAACTTTGCTACATTTTCCCCACATAGATAAAGGCTGTTATAAACAAGCTATACCGGTCGCGCTCACTATTGCACTTTTTCTGCCTTTAGCTGAGGTTTCTATTTGCACGAGTTCATTGTACGAGAAGCAATTTTATTAATCAGTTACCGCTCCCTGAACTTTCCCCTAAGATTAAAAACCAGCTTCAGAGAGCCGGAAACAATCAGCGCAGGTCTAAGTCAGAACTACCAAAGCCTATCAGACTCTGACAGGCTCCTTAAATCCTACGTCAGATGCCTTCATTTCTCAAGTCTTATTTGGATAAAGGGAGATGAAAGGGCAGCTCTTACTGCCAGTCTTTTCACATTCTCCCTGGGACAGTGAAGTTCGCAACGTAGCTTTTTCCTGCTCCTGTCAGCCAAGTCTCTAGCAATGCCACTTGTAGGGTGGAAATTATATCTTAAAAACACCCTCTCTCCTCAAAGCTCTAGCACAGCTTCTTATCTCGGCTACAGCTACACTAGCAAGTTAGAGAAACATCTTACATCCAAATGACAGCGAAGAAAAAAAGCGTACGCATCATTTAACTTAGCAGATGTCTGCAGTTGCCTGCCAACTCAAGCACTCCAAGAGAAATACCTTGAAGTTTAATTCTTGAACAACTATGTTTCAGTCTTCCTCTTTCCCAGAACAGTTACAGGAAGAAAAAAACCCCAAGATTTAAGAACCTGAGATCAGCAGACTGCTAACATATTTTGCCTCACAATCTAAAACACATCAGTATCAAAACACTTCACCTTTTTTTTAAAGCATGCAGAGGTCAAACTGCTATGATTACGCTGCATATAACAGGTTACATTACTTAAGTAACCAAGCCCTCTCTGCAAAGTGACTGAGGGTTTTTTGGAGGATTGAATAAGTTGCTTTGTTCTCCCTCAGGAGAGAAAGCATCCCTCGAAATCATGGCACCAGCCTAGTACTTGAGAAGCCTGGGTTCAAGTCTCTGTTCTGACAGAGACATTGCAAAGGATTTGTGAAGATGAGCCTCAGTTTCCCATCTGCAAAACGGGGGTAAGTATGTTGCTTCCAGAGGGTGCTGAGAACAGAAATAAGCTTGTTGTCATAAGGCGCATGGTTACCACAGTCATGAGAGTTGTATAAATCCTGACCCATTAGAAATCTTCTGAAAATTGTTATTCTTTAAGCTATGGCAGACCTTTTAAAAACTGTTTTCCCCTCTTTTTCAGAAGCAGCATTTAATCAGGTTCTCCTAGTACTTGAGAAACAGCAGGCATCTCCAGGTACTCCCAGTATCCCAACATTTCAAATACTATATAGACAACACAGTAATAGTTCTCAAAACAGTCCTAGAGCATCTTCCCTTCATTTTGAACATATTTCTATGCTCCATGATGCCCTTCACTAAGCCTCCATCTTCCAAATACACTCAACTCAAGGAGCACCGCTCTCCACCTTTCCCTCTCTAAGGCAAAACCGGCACCCTGACCCGCCACACCACCACGCCTCTCTCCTGCACCTTCCTCTTAAAGAAGCACCTCACCCAGAGCACCAACAAACACTCAGCAAAGCAGCCAGGACTAGCAAACAATATTTATTTTGATTACTACAAAAGTATAAGCAACTTTCATGTGATTCCAGACCACCGAGTTGCACACTGAAGAGACCTACTTAGTGCCATGTCTTCTGCATCAAACTTCTCCTGGCTTCTTGCCTCCTGATTGTTAACCTTGCCACACCACTTCCATTCAGTCTAGAAACTCTGCAGCTGAATACAGCTCCAAGCCCAGCAGAAAGCCAACCACAACTGAGGCTTCAGGTGCAAATAAATAAATAAATATACTAAATATACCAAATATACTAAATCGAATTAATAATAATAATAATAATAATAATAATAATAATAATAATAATAATGCATCAGAGGCACTCCATCTTCAAAGGCAGAACATAAAACTCGGATGGCTGCAAAGCTGAGCAGCAAGGGTGGAACAGATTTCGCCTTCAACACCCAGAAGCTCACAGCTAATGGAGGGAGGTGGGCCTCGCCAGGCGGCAATCCACCCCACCGCTCACCTCCCAGACGTACCTTGACAGAGAAGCAAGACTTTAGCCACATAAATGCTGTATCGCTACGCTGGCGGTGACAACCTCAGAAGTCACAGGAAAGCCTCCTCTTTCCCCTTATGTAATGTAACTTGTACTTCTGTACAGCCACTATTATTATTTCCATGGGAAATACGTTGACCAGATACCTACCATTTCCGAAGCTACATGTCCCTCATCACTGCCATATCTGAGCATCTCATGTATTTAATTCATGCAAAGTTCCTGTGAGGTAGGGCAACTGTATTACCCCCCATTTAGAAAAAAAACCTGAGAAACAGAAAAGCTACATGTCTAACAGAGGCTGCTACAGAAGACTGGCGGCTTGAGCTGAGATCTCTCAAGTCACGGGCTAATGCCCTAACCATCAGACTGTGCGCCTTTTCAGAGACTTCTCAGCCAGGAAATATGTTTTATGCAAATTTACACCAAGAAACAGCTCTTCAGAGCTGAGACAGAAGAGTTAATGAGACAAGTCTGCAAACTTAATTATGTACTTCCCAGTTACCATTCTCTCTCACCAGTCTGGCCCACTTAGTACATCAACTCCACAATGACAACCAGACCAAAAATCTCTACTGCATGCACATACATGCTCAGAGAAGACCACTCTAAAACAGCAACGTGTAGAAACTCACTCTACTTACGGTTTTTCTGTATCTTAAGACTGTCAATCAAGCCCACTTTTAGGTAACTTTTTTAAGCGTCTTGAGAAGAACAGCATTCCTATCAAGTAAAAGCTTGGAAAATGGAAAATTGAACTGCAAATGCATAGAAGATGCTTTTTAAATACTTCAAGTACAACACGCGTCACCTCTGCTAGTAACAGAACATAATCTGCTTTGGTTCTGAACTTCTTTAAAGCATAAGTGAAGAAAACAGAAAGTCACTTTTAAAGACACCTAATATCAGAAATTCCACCTGCAAAGACTGAAGCAGAGTTAAGCTACAAGCCAAGTCCCAGGGCCTCTAGAACAGGAACAGCTACCTAACCTTAGCTACAGCTCTTGCCCCACAGTGCACCCAAAATGCTCTCTCAGATCCCTGTTCCTCCCCCGCTACTGGCTCCTGGCAGCTAGAGCTCTGCCTCTTATCACAAAACCTCTCCCAAAACTCAAGTATAGTTTTGCCAGATGACTATGGGGACTGTTACCAAACTGTTAATTTTCAGTCATTCAGGATTCATGAGCCAAGCACTAGCGATGAACCACAATCTTCAGACTGCTTCCCTGGTGTTAGCACAGTGAGTCATTTTGCTCCCCTCAAGTACAGTCAGTACCAATATCAAATGTTATATCTCCCAGAGAGACTTATTTACATACTTACTTAAACCTCCTCTAAATGGCAAAAAGAACATTTTATCACAGACAAGCCACAGGCAAAGTGAAAATATAATTATTGATTTACTTCACTAAACCACATTTGGATTAATATCTTCATCTGAATCACCTATATCCTGATTAAGCACTAAATACTGCTAGATTCAAACAAAATTATATGAAAATCACACACTGTAATGCAATGTAAAACAATTTAAAGGAAGGAACCAGAGAAGGGAAATGAGTTTGAGGTGACCTTTTTTGGAGGTAACATTTTCCTAGACAACCAGTGATCATTTTAGGTAATCTAAGTGCATTCCTACCCAAGCTTAGGGTTAAGAAAGGCACAATGAGCTGTGGGTTAAAAGCTCTTCAACACCATCTCCTAGTGGAATTAAGCCCCGCAATGTGCCAGTGCTGAAAATTCAGCTTAGTATACTCTGGTATGCATTTGAAGCTGACATTAAAAATACCCATTTAGAGCTTTATACGCTTATAAGATAAAATGCCCCAAAGCATCTAAGCGTCCAAGAAGCTCGTGCTGCATTTCCAAGGGACACTTTGGCACTTACCAGCCTAAGAGGCCTCGTGCTGCTGCTGCTGCTTCACTCGCTGTGTCTGGTTCCTACTTCCCCTTTAAAGGTCACCGACAGCAAAACCTCACTGGTGGTGACACTAACAGGCTACAAATGTGGAGTTTCCTTGTTTAGGATCTTAACGACAATGACTGGCACAACTGGCCTCACAGGACAAGTTATTTATCACCAAGCTGATGCATACTCAGCTTAAAAGCTGTATTTTCAGTTCTGCTAAATGCAGTAGCTACTGTAGTTTCCTTATCAGATGGGTAGCTTTTGGAAATGAAGGGATTAAGAAAAAAAGAGTAGCGATTAAATATGATTCTTTTCCTACGAACACTAAAAAGACAAAAATAATCCCACAAATCCTACACCTTTTCTAAATGTGGGGCTAAGCAGAACTGGCAGTTTTTCCTATTTTATTCATTTACCTAATCCAGAAGTAGCTGCAGTTGCTGTGGCTTTCTCAAAACACACCATGATTCATGTTAAAATGACAGAAAAAATGATCCCCAAAATGCTCGTGTACTCTAAATTTCTGCACTGGTTCCATTTTCTGGGTATCTCAGACCGTCATTCAACTGAAGCACTAGACATGTCTGCACTTGCATGGATTTGAAGAACTGAGAACAAGTACTCCCCCTCTTGTTCCACAGACCTACTGCTCTTCACTGGAATTAGAGCACAGCAAATGTTGAACTGTTTCTACTTCACAAAGAATGCATTATTCTTACATGAATTTAAATACTTCAATTACTTTATTTTAATTTAAATATCAGTAAGCATATTTTCTCTGAACGTCTCAAAGTCCTTTGAAACATCAGATTTTAAAAGCATCCCCAACTAGTTTATGTGACTCGATTCAAGACAGAAACGAAGGCAAGCGAGTGTGCGCCCAAGGTCACACACCCTGTTCACAACGGCAGGAATCAACGCAGAGCCCAGGCTCCTCAGTCTCAAGCTCTAACAGCTCTTCTCTGGTCATCGTCTCGGACCGAGCAGCCAAGAGCAGGTCCAACTGGAGCAGTCTCAAGGCACCTCAGTGCTACCTGTTCTTCCTCAGCAGTAACAGCTCTTCCTGAAGTGGTTTTGTGACACAACTGCGCGGAGACCACAACCCAATTTGCTTTTGATATGAGCTCACTGAAACCAAGAGGCTGAATTTCAATGATCAGCGCCTAGCTTTTCTATATGCCCGTCCTGTAATGTGTACAATGAAACAAAAAGTTTTAAAGGGCAAAGGATCTGGAAGGAACGTCTGCAATTTCCATGCTGTAAACACTGTTTAAATACCAGTAAGTGAGTGACACAGAAGGAAACAAGTTCAAATGTGACAGTTACTGTTTGCATTATGTAGACTGGACTCCAGGATCATGTCAAAGCAAAGCAATTCGTACCCAAGAGGTACTAGATCTGTACAAACCAGAAAAATACAAAATCGTTTCTGTGGCAACCTGCAGCAGTTTGAGGATTTAAAAATTTCCTTTAAAAGAAAAATCTTAACACGGTGACACTAGGAAATTTACAAAAGAGATCCAAAGCGGCATTTTAATTCCTGGCCAAAATAACGCTGCTGTTTGATTGCATTTACTTCCAATTACAGCAAGCTCGTCTCTATCAGAAACACAAGACCAGCCTCAATGTTTCAAAAGAATAATCCACGTCTATGCAAGCGCGACATAAACACCGGGCAATTCAGAGGCAAAAACTACTCGGATGAGCCTAAAACCCCAGCAGAGACGCCCCGCCACCACACACAGGAGCGGTGCACAGCGCCTCTGGGACCAGGCGGCAATGCGGAGGCTAACGACAGCACCTGCGCTGTCACCGCAGGCAGTACCTGGATACCCCGCAGAAGGGAGCTGGAAAGGACCTGCAAATCCCCCAAAGTTACCCTCCGGGAGCGCTGAACGCCGTCTCTAGGGGTCGAGCCAGGAGCCCGCAAGGAAGCGCTGCCCCTGCCTCCCCGGCCCCGCGGCGGAGCCGGGACCCGCTGGCTGCAGCGGGGGCTGCCCGCGCCCCCGCCCCACCTTCCAGCGGGGATTTCTCCCCGGGGATGCGCCCGGGGAGGCTCAGCCCTGCGGGGGCTTCCCCCGCGGCCCCAGCCCCTCGCCGCCCGCGGGGTACCTGGTGCTGGGGGCCCGGCCTCGCCACCCTCATGCCAGCGCTGCGGGGCCGGGGCCGGCCGCGCTC